TTTGGGTCTCCACTCTGTACCCACCCTCATTTACAATGATAGGATTTTTTTGTTTTTTGATGCCTGATACCTGATCCCTTCGATACCTAGTGATCACACAGGCTGGTGAGCTTCTTCCATGTGGGCTTTGTTGCTTCTGAGCTAGATGGCCACTTGTTAGCAAATGTTTTTAGAATGATGATGGCAACAAATATACAAATGTGCTTGACACAATGGATGTTATGTATGGATTGTGATGAGTTATAGGAGCCCCCAATAAAATGATTAAATTTAACATAAATAAATAAATAATTTTTAAAAAAGGAGCGCTAAGAGTCAGAATCAACTTGGCAGCAGTGGACTGAAATTGTTTCGAATCACACATTTTGTGTGGTTCTGAATGTTTTTACTCATTTAAGTTTCACAAACATTGTCTGAGACAAGCCAGGCAGGAATGTGTTCACCTCATTTTATCAATTAGAAAGAAGACTTGAAGTTCAATAAATTAAGGGAGGTGTTGTTCAGAATGCTAATCCTCTGACTCCTATTCATTAGCTCTTTAGAATATGTGATACACCATGGTCACACGATATGTCTTACTATAACTGCAATGCATTAGGAAGAGTCCATTTTTATATTCACCTAATATGGGAGGATTTTTGCATCAGAAATACAGCATTTTTTTTTTCAAATGAAAAAGGCATTTCATCATGATCACCTCTGGTTCTAAGAAAAGGAACTCACACTAGTGCTCTAGCAAGGAGACAAGACACGTTTCATGGGCCTTTAGAATAGGACAACAGGAAATCAAGACTTCAGATTTAGACTACATTAATCGTCATTGCCCAAACATCCTAGAATCAAGAACGCATTCATTGTGGTACCTTAACATAGTTAAAGAGCCTGGTGGTGTGGTGGGATAAGGCTGTGTTGAGAACCTACAGGTCAATGGTTCAAACCCACCAGCAGCTCCGAGGGAGAAAGCAGAGACTGTCTGCTCCCATAATGATTTACAGTCTCAGAAACTCAATTTTGGCTGCTATGAGCTGGAATTGACTTGACGGCAATGGGTTTGTTTGTTTGTTTGTTTGTTTGTTTGGGGGGCTTAAGAAATTAGTTGCAATACAAACGTAAGAGTTATGACAGAAAGGCAAGTTATTACTTAATGCAAACTGATACATATGAGAGGGAAGGAGAATCTCTGATCGACATTACCAGATTCACAGCATTACCTCCATGAGACAACCCAGCAAGGACAGTGGAGGTAAAGGCATCATCTTGACTATAGTAATCTATCTTCCTGGGAAAAACAAAACAAAATGGCAGTTGGCAGTTTTTCTACAATGGTTCCTTCCAACCTAAGTAATACATGTAAACAACTCTGATAGACAAAACTCAACGATGGACATTTCTCTTCCTTCCTGGCCTCCAGGTCATTCCACCCATAGGAAACGTAATCTATTTTTTCTCATCCTGAATCTGGGCTGGCAAGATCACTGGCTGCTATGCCTGGCAGCTTCAGCCTTTCTGCCTGGAAGTTAGCCAGAAGCCCAACTCTTCGGAGTCCACTGTCCTTCGAGAAAACTCAAGCTTCCGACACAGAGAGAGAAAGCAACCACGGGATGCGACGCCTTCCCCATCTACCACGCCACTGGCTGAAGAGCGATCCCAGTGAGTGGGCCCAGCTGAAGCACTGTCCCACCCCTGCAGCCAAACCCTTTGCAAATTCCTGAGCCACAGAATCATGAGAGAAAAATAAACTGCTGTTGTTTCAAACCACAAGGTTTGGGGATGATTTGTTCTGTTTGCTATTTCCGTGCTTTATCACCCAAATTGTTATTTCTCCTTTTCACTCTGAGTAGAAGGCGTACCATGGAAGTTTCCACCGTCCATGGTCACTTGTTTAAATGTGACCTGACACAAATCGTTGAGGGTGATCCCGTCATGGACAAGGTCTATGCACCCAAACAGAAAGCTCCCCCTTGACGCTTCCTGCCAACTTCATCTCATTCTTATCATCACAAGGGGGTCCCTTAGAAAAGTAAAGAAAAAAGGGGCTGTACACAGAGCAGAGGTGCGTGCAGTGTTCACTGTTTATAAGGCATGGGTGGCCAGAAACTCATCAGCGAAGGCCTTCCATTGGGCTGGCATTTGAAGGGCGTCGGGAAAAATAACCAGATACACCTATACAACTGAAACCATGCAGGCATCCTGTCCGTATCTGGCGTACACCCTAGAATCTCGCTGCTACCTTTTCTCCTCCCCTCCACACACACTGGCCTCATTTTAACTCTATTTCCTGCCCCTTTGCTTTCTCCATGAATATTTAACCCAGTGATGGGACATGGACTTTAAATCATTAGAAAATAGACAAAGATAAGTGTTCAGCTTGCACATTAATCTTGTTCACCTGTGGATGAGAAAGTTTCATTTCCCTGCAGTGAAATGGTGTTGGGAAAATATTTTTTTTTATTGAACAAATAAATGTGAATGGCAGGATAAATAAATGAGGAG